AGATTCCCCCCCCCCCCCCGGTACGGACCCCCACCATTCACTTCCTTTGAAATGGCGCCGCTACTTTCAAAATTCGCTCGGGTTACGCTAACCCAGATCGTACACTGAGGGTTAAAATAAAACTTTTATGAAATACACACTTTTGTTCGAAGAAAATAAAACACCGTAAAGTTCGGTCGTCATTATATGACAATGACAAGCATAATATTCCTTCTGTCGTTTCGAATGAAAGAGAGTAGAACTTGAACGAAACAACGTGCGAACAATCGGCGCCCGAAGCACATGTACGCGTAAATTGCTTATTACAGATCGATCAAAGCGATTATAATCTCTCCAGCGCGCTCCAATAGACAATGTTGCGAGCTAGCATATAGCGGCTCGTCGACGAGTCGCTGTATCCCTGGTGTGGAGATCAAACGAAACGGACGGTGCCGCTTCTTTATTATACACCGAGTTCTGCCTCGATGCGGGATCGGAATTACGGTGCGATGCGAGCTTCCTTGTCTTCGCCGGTACCGTTCCTCGCCCCGTAATCACGGTTGTATTATTCCGCTTTATCTGCTCGCGCTTTACTCGCTCGATCGATCTTTGCAATCTTCGCACAGCGCTCCGCGAGCGGCTCGAAAAAATTCGTCTTTAAACGAACGGCCAATCGATTTAACTCAACCGTATCGTTAAAGGAGAAGGAGAGAAAAAAAGGGAAGGAAGAAACCTGCGTTTTATACATTTCCGCCGTCCCGCGTGCCACCGCGTCGCGCCGAAAACGTATCGATACCCCTTGTAAATTCAGCGATCGGCCGAGAAAATTCGCATTGCTCCACAATCTCGGTACCGCTAGGTGCTCAGCCGATACCGAACCCGGAATTGATTCGTGCGGATCAGCACCGTGTCGAAATTACGGCAAATGAAACGGATTCTGCAGTCGCGGTCTCGGATACACGGAACGGCACGGGAGTCATTATCTTCATCATCATTCCGGCACGCGTGATCTCGCGCCGCTTCTCCCACGTAACCCCTACCATTCCCTGGTCGACAGATAAGTAAATTGTTCCTGGTGCGTTGTAGCACGAACGGTTTGCGCTATCAACTAGAGTTAAATTCAATACAATGTAGCTGCAACTACGCGTTAGTTTCTGCGGATGGACCAATCACCAGTTATCTTTGTTAAATTATCGTTGACACGCAAACTCGCATAAATACGAAAATTTATTCAAGAGTTTTGTTAAAGCTATAACAATTATACATTTATTATCTTAACTTGATTGTAAAATAATGTTCGAAGCATTAACATTTGAAAATTGTACTGTTACATTTGAAAGAGTGTGAATATCAAACTAATTATTTTTTTATTATTTCAAACTTACTAGTAAAAATATTGTAATATCGTTCACTTCGTACCAATGAGTTTTGTTTAAAAATGTGTCTTTACGTAGAATATTATACACACGAGAACCGCAAAAAACCCGACTGAATCCAAAATACCTACATATGTTTTTAAAAATATATTGACATTATATAGTCAAGTAAAATATTCTTCTTAGCGCTCTGATAACTTTATAATTTTATATGAAACACTCATAAAAATAAAAAATATCACTTCTATGTATATTTTCATGTAAAAATAAATATATATGTAAAATATTATGATAAGATTGATAAGTTAAGAAATTATATGTGTATTTAAAATATATAAAGAATTTGTAGCAGCAGATGTGAATCCCCCGGTGAATCCCGGTGGATCCTGTGAACAGTCTAGACTTAATAAATACTTAGCATCTCAGTCACTAGAGAGCAAAAAGTGAACTCGATCAGTTTCTGCCCGAGAACTACCGCCGTATCGACCGGTGCAACGCGATATTTATGAATCGGCAGCTATTCATTTGGTCCGCGGAAAGGATTGACAAGTGAGCATTACGGGCATTAGAAGAGAGGCGTGGACGGCAACGTCTATCGCAGGATACGTCGCCCGACGAAGGATAATACCAGCTCCCGAACTGAACCAGATGCGTGTAGCGACCGAGATGCATATGGAACAAGCTAAAAAAAAGATGCTTCTCGCGAGAGCGAATATCTGTTCTTCCCTTTGCAGGATCCGGAGACCTGTATCTCTCAGTGGCCTCGGCGATCCCTAAGTAAATTAATGTCTTCGAAGCACCCCGTGGAAGCTGTTAATAATAGCACCGCGTCGAGAAAATTAAGCGGTTTATTTGAGATTAATTATAGCTTTTCGGATCAGCTTGTATCCGTTCGCTTCACGCGTTGACAACCCTTCATTCATTTATATTCTTCTGAATAGAAATAGAATAAATAGATTGTTTCTTGCTGTTGTACTTTTAAAGTAAACTTTGCAACTGACAATGAGAGAATGATTTTATATCACTTAATTATAATTACGCAAAATTAATTTTTTACGTAAAAGCATTAATATATATGTTTATAATATAATAAAATATTTAATATATCTTAAAGAAATAAAAATTTATTTTACTATTTTGCAGTGTAGGAGAGCTGGAATTCATTCAGTTCAAAATGTCATTTGTGTGAAATTTTTCTTGAGAGACAATAAAACTGACCTTGAAAAATGTTCTGCGGCAAGCACCGCCGCCGTTTCGAAACGTGTTTAATAATTCAAATGTTCCTGCAGGCGTATTTGTATGTAAATTTAAAATAATACAAGAACAAGAAGTGAGCATCGATAAAGCAAGCACATTCGAGACGAGAGACGAGCCGGTTTCTCAAATGGCCTGATGCTGAATAACGAATAAGGAAGAAAATCGAGTTGCCGATTTGTCGTAACATGAAAACGATGGAAAAGTTGAACAGATCCATAAGAAACAAAATTTGTACTATAAAATATCTAGTCATCTTCAAATTCGCTGACTAATTCGGAAACTTTCGGAAACAGTTTACAAAGTCCCATTGAGATTTCTAAAGTATATTACCTTACTTGTATATAGAAATTATTTACGGAATTTGTGTATAATGAACAGTTTTGCATTTGTAAGATTTATTAGTGACTTGCGAAAATTCGTGATAACATTCGAGCAATAATCGCCACGCTAGCGGCGAATACCGGAGGGGGAGTTTAAGATTCGAAAGGATGCCACGGGGATCCGCCACTTTGTACGTGCATTCACAAGTAAATTAGCTGCATCATTGTCTGCGCGGACGGACGAAAGGAAAGGAGAAAAAAATATCGGCTGAATGTAAATATGATAAAAATCCACGCGTCATCCGGTTGACGAGAATTGAAGAATGCTCTTCGAGGCGTCGCGATGCATCGACGTGACGACGGGATCTCTTATACGCGGCTTTGCAAAATCATCCTTCGATATCGAACGCATAAGCCGCTTATCGGTTCGTTCGATATTAAAAAACCGTCACTTCTGGTTTCTTCATCGATTTGAAACTTATTCGTGTAATATAAACAGTAAATATATGTGTGATTATAAATAATGGTAACAATTGTTTAATGTTTCTTTGTGAATTTCTTTATTTCTGTTATTTAGAGTATTTTTTTATATGATACGTATGTGAAAAATTTATTATTTACTCCTTTCTATGGTAATATTTGTTGGAATTCGACAATGCTTTAAACATACAACGATGTTCTATGTTATGGATATATGCAAAGATATCAATACCTATCCACAATATACTAAAAATGTTATGCGTTTGTTTTATGTAAATCATTATTTCTTAAATCTCTCAAAAGGCGATATGACTGCCATGACGCATCTTCGATTACATTGATTTAAGCAAATTTTTAGCTCACTACGGGTTTTAGAAATGTAACTAAGATCTCACAGTAGGCAGTGAAAATAATTCTCGCCTGGCAGCTGCCTCGCTTCGGGATTATTCTCCAATATAACGTAATTAGACCACCTGCGGTGAGAATGCGTCGCGTGCGTGCTCTATTCTACTCTTTCTTCTTCGTTTCCTCGCTTCTTTGTTTCTTCCTTTGCGACTTTTTGCATCATACGATGCAATAGCGATTCACCCGGCTCAATTTGTATATGAATGAACACGCATTAGCCTCACAATGTTGACAAAAGCAAAGAAACTTAACCATTAAGACCACCTGGTGTAAGGATCGCCAGGAATATCATGCGGAAGCTTGGATAAAACACATAGATGCGCGGTTTCCATGGTATAGAGAAGTTAATGTACAGTTAGACGCGGTAAATTTGATATCTAAATGTGACACTGAAATATTGCTATGATGAATTTAATAATAAAGAGTCACTAAAAAGTTACTGTTTATTGATTTAATCAATTTGATTTATGATTATATTAGTTATATCAATGTTAATAATGCCAGCTTTGATAACTCTATATTCTCGTCAATAATTTGAAGCGCCGACGCTTGAATATTACATGCGTTTTTAAAATTCCTCGTAATTAATGCACTTCGTAATCGATATTTATCCGATGACGATGATTGGTAGCCGATCCGCGATTTTCTTCGCGGAAGACCATGCGTGGAAGCTGTTCGCCGCTGGATCGATCTTGTCCCTCGGAATTATCGCCATCTGCCATCCCCTAATTACTCTTGATAATTGATGCGATTATTGCTTGTCAGGAATCACTCCCGGATTCACGCGGCAAGAAAATTGCTGAAAAAGGCATTCGGTCGATCGATGAAGTATGCAATTATTCCCTCGATCCAACGTCTCGATCATGTACTTTGCCCATCAATCGATATAGCTGATTAATTAACGTTAATTACGTCAGTTATGGCAGCGATGACTTCATCCGCCCTGACTGCTTGTCCGAACATGTCTATGAAGACTATCTATCTTCGCCTGATTATCTAACCTTGGCAAAATAACATTTTTATTTTCGGATATCTATATATATACATATACATCGCCAAACTGTATACTGTTTTAATTTTGAAACGCTGACATTTTTATCATTTATATGTGCTTCGTATAATGTATTACATATTTTATGTTCTCTCTCTTTGTATACTTTACATACTATTTCCCTTCTTCTAGGTTTCACTGGAACTCAATGCGAGATCGACATAGACGAGTGCGCGCTGAGGCCGTGCATGAACGGCGGCACCTGCAGCGATCTCATCAACGCCTTCAAGTGTACCTGCGCCGAGGGCTTCACCGGCACCCATTGCCAGATCAACATCGACGACTGCATCTCGTCGCCGTGCAAGAACGGCGGCACTTGCCAGGACGGTATCGCGAGATACACGTGCGAGTGCCCGGCCGGCTTCACCGGCGACTCCTGCGAGACCAACATCAACGACTGCGCCTCGAATCCGTGTCGCAGCGGTACCTGCATCGACGGCGAGAACAGCTTCACCTGCAACTGTTCCCCCGGCTTCACCGGCAAGCTGTGCCAGACGCAGATCGACGAGTGCGAGAGCAATCCGTGCCAGTTCGGCGGTAGATGCGAGGACCGTATCGACGGTTACCTGTGCGTCTGCCGACCGGGCACGTCCGGCGAGAATTGCGAGGTCAATGTTAACGAGTGCTACAGCAATCCCTGCCGAAACGGGGCCAGATGTATCGACGGTATCAACAGGTAAGCTTCAAGAAACATACGTTCCATTTGGTCGTCAGTATCTTTATACATATATCATTTGTTCGTTTGCGCGATTATCTTTTCTTTGGTCTTATAATTCGGCAAAATTAATCAGATGTATCCACGGTCATACCGTGGATGTCTCTATGCAATTAAATATGTCCTGCGCGGATGATGAATTGACCAAAGTCAGTATTGGATTTTAAGAATTAGTTTCGACTCTTAGCGCATCAGCATTTAAAAGTAACTCTTTATATGAAATCTTTTTTACTATAATTAAAAATAAACATTTTTAAGAATCATATTAATTATAGATAATAATGATAATTAAAAACTCATAAAATGTTTCACAGAAGTCCGACGTGTATTTTTCTACTTTAGAAATCTCTTGCGAAATCAATTATTATCGGTAATGAAGCAACGGAATAATACAATTTGGCAAAATTCTTAACTGTGTCGACACATCGCCACGCTCTCCTTCGTTTTTCACCAGGCGCAATGTCTCGTCTTTCAGGTACTCCTGCGAATGCGAGCCCGGCTTCACCGGGCAGCACTGCGAGACCGATATAAACGAGTGCGCGAGCAACCCGTGTGCGAACGGCGGCCGTTGCATCGACGTGATAAACGGCTTCAGATGCGAGTGCCCGCGCGGCTACTACGACGCCAGGTGTCTGAGCGACGTGGACGAGTGCGCGAGCTCGCCCTGCCTAAACGGCGGCACTTGCGAGGACGGGGTGAACCAGTTTATCTGCCACTGCCTGCCCGGTTACGGCGGCAAGAGGTGCGAGGCGGATATCGACGAGTGCGGCTCGAACCCCTGCCAGCACGGTGGCACGTGCAACGACCATCTGAACGGTTACAGCTGCAAGTGCCTGCCCGGTTACGCCGGCACCAATTGCGAGACCAACATCGACGACTGCGCCAACAACCCCTGCCAGAACGGCGGCTCCTGCATCGATCTCGTTAACGACTACAAATGCGTCTGCGAGCTGCCCCACACCGGCAGGAATTGTGAGGACAAGCTGGACCCCTGCACGCCGAACAAGTACGATTTTTCCTTCCGAATTCATTTGCATGAGGATACGTGGATGTAGCTAGATTCGCCGTATTATACATGTATCATGTGGGAGGAGGGAAATTCTGAAGTTCCCCTTGATTACCCTTGTACTCCATTGAGAGTGCAACATTATTTAAAAAATCTTGTATTAAATGTAATATTATAGAATTGATTTTTTATATGGAGAATTTCAAATTTAAATTGTTTTAGAATATTATTACTTTAAAAAAACATTTTTAATCATTTTTTAATACATGACATAAAATACACTTGTTACAATTAACTTTGCTTGTACAAAATCAGTATTGTACTTTAGCTTATATTTATGGCACTGTGATTTTACATAATGCTTCTATTTCTTCACTGCAATCACCCATTGAATTATGTACATGTATGAGCGAACAGGAGTCTTGAGAGCTTCGTTTAATTTCGATAAAACGTATCCACATGGATGATCCGCATGATAGAACGACTTTATAACGTTGCTGTGTCATTTCCAGATGTCTTCACGGAGCGAAATGTTCGCCATCGTCGAACTTCCTCGACTTCGCGTGCACGTGTACGGTCGGTTACACGGGCAGGCTGTGCGACGAGGACGTGGACGAGTGCGTGATGACGTCGCCGTGCAGAAACGGTGCCACTTGCCGGAACACAAACGGCTCTTACCACTGCGTATGCGCGAAGGGCTACGAGGGCCGTGATTGCATCATCAATACCGATGACTGTGCATCATGTGAGTACGAACCACCGGCTGTTCTTCGCTTTCTTTTCCCTTACTTGCTACAGATGCAGAGATCTTCTTTCGCTTTCATTTGAGAGTCTTAACGCGAGTCTATAGAGCGTCATCTGTTTTATCGCGCGATGGCATGGATTAAATTAAACGTACTTAATAAACATCGCCGTACGACACTCAAAGAGAATCTCTTTTGCTGTTTCACAGTTCCCTGTCAGAATGGCGGCACCTGTCTGGACGGCATCGGTGATTATACGTGTCTCTGCGTGGACGGTTTCAGTGGTAAGCACTGTGAGGTTGACATCGACGAATGCCTGTCGCAACCCTGTCAGAACGGTGCCATTTGCAAGGAATATGTCAACTCCTACACGTGCCAATGTCAACTCGGCTTCTCTGGCATTAATTGTCAAACCAACGACGAAGATTGCACTGACAGCAGTTGCATGAACGGCGGCACATGTATCGACGGTATCAACAACTACACATGCGTCTGCAAGACCGGCTATACGGGCTCGAATTGCCAATATCGTATCAACGAGTGCGACAGCATGCCCTGTCAGAACGGTGCTACCTGTCATGATCACATACAATACTACACATGTCACTGTCCGTATGGTTACACGGGTAAGCAATGCGATAAGTATGTGGACTGGTGCGCTGACAATCCATGCGAGAACCAGGCAACGTGCGTGCAGCGCATGAACAAGTATCATTGCAACTGCTCACCCGGATGGACCGGCAAGGTATGCGACGTGGAGATGGTCTCGTGCAAGGATGCCGCCATACGGAAGGGCGTGCCGGAAAGCAGTCTTTGCAACAACGGCACTTGCGAAAACATAGGCAATAGTCATCGTTGTCATTGCCTTGACGGTTACACTGGCTCTTACTGTCAGGAGGAAATAGACGAATGCGACTCGGCGCCGTGTCAGAACGGCGCAACCTGCAAGGATCTCATCGGCTCGTACCAGTGCCAGTGCACCAAGGGCTTCCAAGGACAGAACTGTGAGCTCAACATCGACGACTGCCGACCAAATCCCTGTCAGAACGGCGGTACCTGTCACGATCTGATCAGCAACTTTACGTGCTCCTGTCCACCCGGTACTCTTGGCTTCATATGCGAGATCAACATCGACGATTGCATGATGACCGCATGCCACAATAACGGCACGTGCACTGACAAAGTGGGTGGCTTTGAATGCAAGTGTCCGCCCGGTTTTGTCGGGCCAAGATGCGAGGGTGATATTAACGAGTGCTTGTCGAATCCGTGTGCCTCGCCCGGAACTCAAGACTGCGTGCAATTGATCAACAACTATCACTGCAACTGCAAACCGGGCTATATGGGCCGTCACTGCGAGGTTAAAGTGAATTTCTGTGATAGCTCCCCGTGTCAAAACGGTGGCTTTTGCACGGCTAAGCACGACCGACACGTTTGCATCTGTCAAGGCGATTATCATGGCACCAATTGCGAATTCGCCGGTTCCTACTGCAACTCCGAACCGTGTCAGAACGGCGGCACGTGTCGTGTCATAGGAAATAGCTATCAGTGTTACTGCTTGCCAGGTACGACCGGTACGCATTGCGAGTTCGATGCCTGGAACGAGTGCGACAGGCATCCGTGTCAGCAAAACGCCCCTTGTATAAACAAGATTGGTGACTACGCCTGTGACTGTCCTCCCACGTGGTCCGGCAAGAATTGCGATATCTATGATGCAAATTATCCTGGCGGAGTATTCGGCAGTTTAAACACATCCAAAACCTTGAACGATATTTATTTGGAACGCGAACGTCAGAAGTGTATAGAAAATAACTGCGCGGCTAAGGCCCGCAATGACCGCTGCGACGAGGAATGCAATCGACCCGCGTGCGACTTTGACGGCAGCGATTGTTCGCTAGGCGTCAATCCGTGGCGCAACTGCACTGCCGTGGATTGCTGGAAGGTATTCATGAACGGTGCGTGCGACGACGAATGCAACAATCCGCAATGCCTCTACGACGGCAGAGACTGTGAACGAAAAGTTCCTCCTTGCAAGTGAGTATTCCCAGCTAAATTTATTTTCTTAATTAAACATTGTGTTGTGTTATGATGCTCTTTACTCTTAACATACATTTAAAAATTAAATTATTGAAGTCGTTGTTAGTATGGCCAGCTTTCCTACTAATGAATTTTGAATTTATTAGTACAATACACATTCTGAATGAATTTTGATATAGGTTTCTATGATAGGTTTCTATTCCTTGTGTTTTATTTTTTACTACGGATATATTAAAAGATTCTTGCAAACTATTTAATTATATTTGTAGCACTTTTATTTATTACGTTATTTGCTTTTTACAGCCCAATCTATGACGCATACTGTAGAAAGCATTACGCTAACGGCCATTGCGATTACGGCTGCAACAACGAAGAATGTAACTGGGACGGTCTCGATTGCGAGAAGGAGCCACCGTCATTAGCAGAGGGTGTCATATCCATAACCGTCAGATTGGATATGGACACTTTCCGTACGAACCTCCCAAGCTTTTTACGTGACATCAGCCATCATTTAAGAACGACGCTTCGCATTAAAACGGATGAACTCGGCAACGAAATGATATACCCTTGGAAGCCCGAAAGACATAAGATTCCTAACTTTTTTACTCGACCGCCTCCGCCTAATAAAAAAGGCGTGGTCGCTTACCTGGAGATCGACAATCGCAAATGCACGACGACGCAGAACTCGGTATGTTTCCCATCGGCGAACGAGGCAGCCGAGTTTTTGGCTGCCACGGCGTTGAGGCACACCCTATCGCGGAACTTCCCCATCGAACAAGTGCGAGGTGTCGTGGGTCCTCAGACTATAGACATTGCAGATACCCCAACGAATTATAAGTATGTTTTTATCGGTGTGGTCATCGTGGTGCTCGGCGGGTTACTGGTGGGCGTCCTGGTGACCGCACAGCGGAAGCGTGCCGTTGGGGTCACATGGTTCCCCGAGGGATTCTTAAGAACTAGCAGCGGCAGCGGTCAACGACGCCGGTCGCGTCGGCGCGGCCCGGATGGCCAAGAGATGCGCAACTTGAACAAGCAGCCGTCGGTGAATTGCATGAACATGGATGTTGTGAGTGCCCGAATACAGTCCCAATGGTCTGACGATGAGTCCGATCTACCGCCGTCGAAGCGGATGCGTGCCATCGAGCCGGGTTATGCGAGCGATCATACCGTCATCACGGACTATGAGGAGACCGAGCCGCGTATGTGGACGCAGCAACATCTGGACGCGGCCGAGATTCGACGGCCGGACGCGGGCGGTGTGCTGACGCCGCCCAGTCTCGAGCATGGCCAGGATGTGGACGCGCGTGGTCCATGCGGCATGACACCATTGATGGTAGCGGCGGTACGAGGCGGCGGGCTCGACACCGGCGAAGAGGAGGACGAGAGCGACGGCACCGCGGCGGTGATCGCCGATTTAGTCGCCCAAGGCGCTGATCTGAATGCTACCACGGACAAGAGCGGAGAAACGTCGCTGCATTTGGCTGCGCGTTACGCCCGGGCTGACGCAGCCAAGAGATTGTTGGATGCGGGTGCCGATGCTAATTCACAGGATAACACTGGCCGTACTCCACTGCATTCTGCTGTCGCGGCCGATGCTATGGGAGTTTTCCAGATTTTGCTGCGCAATCGAGCGACGAATTTGAATGCACGAATGCACGATGGCACCACGCCGCTAATACTAGCTGCGCGTTTGGCCACCGAGGGAATGGTGGAAGACCTCATTAACGCCGATGCCGATATCAATGCCGCCGATAACAGTGGCAAGACCGCATTACACTGGGCCGCGGCGGTCAACAACGTCGATGCTGTGAATATATTGTTGGTGCATGGCGCGAACAGAGACGCTCAAGATGATAAAGATGAAACCCCATTATTCTTAGCCGCCCGCGAGGGCAGCTTTGAAGCATGCAAAGCATTGCTGGATACATTTGCCAATAGAGAGATTACCGATCACATGGATCGGTTACCTCGCGATGTTGCGAGCGAGAGACTGCACCACGACATTGTCAGACTACTTGATGAGCACATGCCGAGGTCGCCGCAGATGGTTACAGTCATTCCGAATGGTCCTCTTATGGGTAAGCGTTTTTATAACATCTTTATGATATGCGTAAATGCCATAAAATATTCTACTCTTGAAAAAAAATTTTATCATGAATAATAAATTTTAATAAGAAATTATTTTGATGATTTTAATAATAGATCCCAGTATCTTATTTTAAACTATACCAAAAAATTTTGTAGAGAATAAAATTATGCATTATTAAAAAATTATGTATTATTAACAAATTTCTTTTATAACATTGTTATGTAACATAATTATCTTTTTTGCAGGATCTTCAAATCATCCACAATTAATCACGCATCCCACGGTAATCGGCTCAGCGCCGAAGCAAACCAAGTCAAAGAAGCGGCCAAAGGCAGGCGCGGGAAACCCAAACAGTCCAGAGTCAGAGGGCGGCGGCACGGTGCTAGTAAGGCGAAAACCATCGGTGAAGAAGGCGCCGGCTAAACCGCGCGGCGCACAGCCCCCAAACCAGGAGATCCCACAGGGAGCGGAAGGCGCCGATGGCAATCTACCGACTAGCCCGTATGATAGCGCGAGCCTTTATAGTAACGCGTTACCCCTGGTGGCTCATACTGCGACGGCGAAACAACCGCCACCGTACGAGGATTGCATCAAGAGTCAATCGATGCAAGGTCTGCAACAACTCGGCCTAGATACCTTCACGAGCAACTACGGGCTGCCATTTCACGACCAGCTCTTAGCGCCTCATCAGCGGCAGCAGCAAGGCATGGTAAACACACTGTCGCCGCCGTACAGTAATCAGTCACCGCCACACTCGGTGCAGTCCAACATGACCCTTTCTCCGCAAGCGAGCTACATGGGCTCGCCGTCGCCGGCGAAAAATAGGCCGTCGTTGCCCACATCCCCAACTCATATCGCTGCTATGCGACAGGCGACGCATCAGAAACATGGCAGCATGCCACCAGTGGGTTTTGACTTTGATAATTTACCGTATTCTTCGAGCCAACAGCAACAACAGCAACAGCAGCAACAGCAAATGCAACAAACGCAGCAGCAGATCCAACAGCAGCAGCAGCAACAACAACAACAACAGCAGCAGCAGCAGCAGCAGCAGCCGCAGCCGCAGCAGAGCACGCAACAGCAACAGCAGCAGCAGCAACAACAACCACAACAACAGACACAACAATATTACCAATACTTGACGCCACCGTCCCATCATTCCGGGCCTGACGTTACGCCACAGCATCTCATGCAAGCGCCCGAGAGTTTCCCAACGCCATCGCCGGATAGCCCTGGTCACTGGTCTTCGAGCTCGCCCCGTTCGAACAGCGACTGGTCTGATTGCATGGCCTCACCTACGAACGCTTACGGCGCCAGCGGCGGCGCTCACCAAAGCAACAAGGGCTCTGAGGCGATCTACATATGAGGCCGATAGCAATGGTACTTTCTTCCTTACGTAAATAAGTCGTGAAAAGAAAAGAAAGTAGAAAGTTATACATGAACTGTGATTAGCTCGTCGAATTCGAGTGTCTAGACGTCAGAAAGACGAAAAAAAAAA